TTGCAGAAAAAATTGGGTAGCGTTGTTACAAGCACTGTTATCTTTGACTAAGGATACCAAGCTCGGTTTTCACCACCTATTTATATCGGTATAATAATGAATTAAAAGCACAAAAGTGTGCCCAATTGCAGGTCTTCTGGTCACATAATGACGACCATGATCATTTTATATAAGGAGGGTGGCAATAAGGCATCACCATTCGCACTGTTGTATATCATGAATGATCGGCTTTTCACTGACTCTTGAAATCTCAAACGTTCCGATTACAGTATCAACCTCAGCTCGGCGGTTGCTATGGCTCAAAATAAACAAGGGCGGATTGCCCCTCTTGGTAAACCAAACAGATTGACTGCGTAAAAAAATAACAAAGTAGAAAGGAGAACCTATCCGGCACCGGAAAAACTAGGATAAAAACCATTGTCAAAAACAAAATGAGTGAATTTCAGCCAAAGATCTAGAAAGCCATCAGCAGCCAAAAGAGTTCCAACTAATTAAGTGAAGATGAGTCGGTACCAGAGTTAATTCTATCAAACTCGACATCTCTCCCAGAAGTTTAGGGATAAACTTCATCAGAAGTACTGTTATCACTACTGTTATTATTATTATTTATAATAATAAGTTACACAGATTGCACTTAACAGTTTACACTCATCCGCATGTCAGATATCGTTACCACAGCTAGCATTATTCAACGAAAGCATCGTAATTTCCAGCAGGTTAATCGGCTTTATACAAGGCATCGATATATTTTCACCTCTTTTGTGGTAAAACTGTTGTTTATTTCAAGCAAACGATCATTCCACCTCTTTACTCATTTTGTCACGTCTAACTGTAATGAGAAACTTCACAGCTATAGCCTTAAGTGATGTGCATACCTCGGGGAGAACAATGTATTCGTTTTCTTATTAGAGCAGGTATCCATAATACATGACCGCACCTGAGCTGTAGTTTGAATCATGCAGTTATTTTTGACTGATTAACAGTCTGCGATAACAAAACAGAAGATAACGATGTTCGGAGTAGTGTTCTTGAGGAAACACAGAAATTAGCTAACACTTTTAGGTCCAGTGAATTGAACTTGGTGTTAGTGTTAATTTAAACCAACCCAGGACATTCTTTCTATAGTTTTAGGTTCTGGGTGTGCGACTCTCTTGTTACCAAAGAGCTCGTCCTCCGTCT